ATGTTGAGTTTATGATGCCTAACAAATATCCAAATTAGATATGTTAAATAGGCAGTTGGAGGTTGGGAAAGATATCTGGGTGGGAATTAAAAGTTCATGAATAGTCTACATATTGATAGTCTTTAAAGCCATGAGAACAGATGAGCTCATCTAAAGAGAGAAGAGAAGAAACCTGGGGTCTGACTCTGGGGCACTCCAGCATTTACAAGGCAGTGAAATGAAGAAGAACCAATAAAGGTAGGAGTAGACTAAGAGAGAATGATGTGGAAGTCAAGTGAAGAGAGCAGTTCAAGAAGGGTAAACTAGGTCAGTGCTACTACTATGTTGAATAATAGGACCAAGATTGGAATTAACTATTGGGATTAACCATAAGGAGGTCTTTAATAATGTTGGAAAGCAATTTCAAAAGATGAATAGATAGCTGAAGTCTGATTTGAATGGATCAAAAGACACCAGGAAGATAAAACATGGAAACAGTAATTTCAGACAATTCTTTGAAGGAGTTTTGTGTGAAAGGGGGCAGATATTAGGGTGGTTCTGGAGAGAAATAGAGGGTTGATGGGGAGTTATATTTTTCTAAATGGAAACATAGCATATTTATTTGCTCACGAGAATGATCTAGTAGAAGAGGAAAAATTGTCATTGTAGGAGATGTCTGGATTGACATTCTTGAGCAAGTGGTTATATAATGTAGTGTGAAATGTGAAGGATTGGCCCTTAGAGCATGGGTGGTTAATGCAAGTAATAGGAGGAATGGCAGAATGTGTGGGTGCAAAGACAGGGAGATTGGCAGAGTGGTGGGAACATGTGGATGTTGCCTTCTGATAGCTTCATTGTTAGCTGAAAGTGTGGTGATACTAGATTTTTAAGAAGAGGTAAGAAGTTTGGAAATAATTATGTAGAAGAGTGGGAAAATAAATAGATTAAGGGAATATGGTATGATTGCTGGGTAGCACTAAGGGATTACTAGAATTCATCTGACATCAATTTAAAGTGAAACCAGGCAAGATGATTATCTTTTTCTCCAGCCACATTCTACTATAGACCTTGGTATGGTGTAAATAGAGTTTTGAATTTATGCAGGGTAGAAGCTTGTGATTTATAAAGCTGGAAAGAGAAGAGGCAAGAAAGGGTATACATAAGGGAGTGATTATGATAGACCATGAATCCTAGGCTGGGTAAGGAACCGAGAAAGGGAGATTTTGAGAGGGATAAGAAACAGTGGAAAGGGAGAAGGTTCAAATGGATTATGAGTTCTTACAGGATTGTTTGTTGGAGTTAAAATTCTAAAAGGCATGAGTGGAATTAGGAGGTATTGGTCAGAGATGATTGAAGTTGGGATAAGAGCCAAGTAGCAGTTAATAGTAATGACAAAGGCTAGGTTATGAGCATGGAGGTGCTATTTTGTAGTGAATAACCTTAAGAAAATTTCATGACCTATCTGACCCTCACTTTTCTCCTTTGTAAAATTGGGATAATTAGCTATCTTATAAAGTTATGGTGAGGACTGAATGATGGGATGGATGTAAAATACGTAAGATAGTACTTACCATGTAAGATAGGCTCTTAAAAGAATCTCCTTTCTTTCTTTATGATTTTTACCTTCATTTCCTGACCTGAGCAGAGTAGCCAAATACTATATATATTTAATACCTTTCTTTATCCTTCAGAATTTGCTTTATGTGAAACTTGAGGAAATAAAAGTTGTTTTAAAATCACTCTATGGCAGGCACCTGTAATCCCAGCTACTTGGGAGGCTGAGGCAAGAGAATCGCTTAAGCCCAAGAGTTTGAGGTTGCTGTGAGCTGTGACGGCACAGCACTCTACCAAGACTCTGTCTCAAAAAAAAAAAAAATCACCCATGGGTTTTGTTGTTGTTGTTGTTGTTGTTTTGCTTTGTTTTATTTTTTGAGACAAAGTCTCGTCTCATTCTGTTACCCAGGCTAGAGTGCCATGGCACCAGAGTAGCTCATAGCAACCTCAAACTCCTGAGTTCAAGTAATCCTCCAGCTGCAGCCTCTCAAGTAGCTGGAGCTACAGGCTCCCATCACAACACCAGGCTCATTTTTTCTATTTTTAGCAGAGATGGGGGAGGGAGGTCTCTTTCTTGCTCAGGCTGGTCTTGAACTCCTGAGCTCAAGGTATCCTCTTGACTTCGCCTCCCAGAGTGCTAAGATGATAAGCATGAGCCACTACACTCTCCTGATATTTTTTTCTTAATCAGAATGAAAAACATCACTACCTTTAGAATGACCACCATTACGCCAACAAAAAGTAATTTTTATTCCGTTACAATTCTGCTCCTATTACTATTTTTTCTTTTAAAAGAATCTTTATACCAAGAGTTTTTACATCTTTTGCATTTAATTGTTAAATTAGCCCTATGAGTTTATAAGGTGAAGGTATTTTTGTTATTTCCCCATTTTCTGGTTGAGGAAATGAAAGTATAGTGAGGTGTGCTATATATGATTATATTGGTTAAACTAGGACTTGAACCTTGGTCCTTAGATTGGTAAGTGAATTCTGTGCTTTTCATGGTACCTTGTTGTTTAGGATATTTTTGCCTGCTATAACTGAGCTAATCTCTAAAGGTCTTTTTTAAAACCCTTTATTGAAGAGATTTTTTATTGTACAGTCTTCATAATTTATACATTCATCTATTCATTTATTTGTTTATTCAAGACATATTACTGTAACCATTCTGTGTTTTCTGAGCCTTAGGAATACTATAGCAAGACATACACTCCTTCCTTCATGGAGTTTTTACCAGAGTAAGAGGGATAGACATTAGTTAAATCACAAAAATATTTACAATTGAAGGAAAAGTGCTGGAGCCATGAATAAGTAACAAAGAGCAATTAGATTGAATCTGGGGGTTGGCTTGTTGGTGATCATGAAAGACTTCCAAAAGGAAGTTACATTTAAAGATGTGATTTGAAGGGTAAGCAGCAGTTAAAGGGGTAAAGGGAAGAGGGTGTACACTAAGGGAAGATTGTACATGGAGGGCTTGTCCCTCCATCACAATTCATAATGGTTCTTTTTCATTTTTATTATGATTTCATTAAGTATATATTAATAGTTACAAAGCATAGTACTGAACTTTTCTCTCTTGGTGTATCTGAGAGAATTTATTAGGACTGCTTAGGAGGGCCTGTGGTGAGTTAACATTGTAAGTTCCATCTGGCGTCATGCAGTGAGTCTGTGGAGGACATTACTTTTTCTGTTCTTAAGTCTATTGGTGCTTTTATGCTGATAGTTTATGCTGAATCTTTCCAAAGGTATGGTGATACACCTCTGCCTTGTTAGTTAGTTAGTGACAGGGTCTTGCTTTGTTGCCTGTGCCTCAGTCTTCTGAGTTGCAGGGACTACAGGCATATGCCAGTATACCCCACTAGGTCTTCTTCTTTTTTTAGAGATGACATCTTGCTATGTTGCCCAGGCTGCTCTTGAACTCCACATCTCAGGTGATCCTCCCACCTTGGCTTTCCAAAGTGCTAGGATTACAGACATGAACCACCATGTCGGCCCACCTCTGCCTAAATAAATGAATATTTTCATTCAAACAAATAGATTCATTGAGTGTTTATAACATGAATAAAATCATTCAACTCCTTGGTTGAAAACTATGGTTTATCAAGGCTTTTTTTACTTGTGACTAGGGTAAGAATCCAGGCACTTTTTGTTTTTCTTGTATTTATATTCTCAACTATTGACTCACAGCTGGAATTTTATGTAGCATATGGTCCCATACATTGCTGTAGTAGAAAATTCATATGAACAGAAAAGAAATCTCAGGAGATGAGTATTATAATCCATCAAAAACTTTCTGTAAATACTGATTTTTTAAAAAACAAAGTACCTGACATTGTTAGATGACATAAGTTATAAAATGCATTTATAACTAGTAAAAGAGTATGCTAGAATTGGTTAAGGCACTTAGCAAAGTAGGAGAGAAACTTGAAAAGGAAATTGGCTAGAAAAAGTAAAGGATGAATAATTTTTTGACTTTACCAAGAGATTGGTGAGCACATTTATCAAGCAAAGGGGCTGGGATTTGCTTGGAATGACTCCAAGGCACAATGTGATGGTGGCTAAGGATTGTTACAAGAGAGAGAGAGAGACAGAGGTAGAACAACAATCTAGAGGTAGATTTTTTTTTTTAAATCAGACAAAATATACTTCTCAAGCACAGAAACAATTGTTCATGATATATTTTTCTAGCCACTTCAGTTTGCATAAAAATAAAATGATATATTTGAAAAAGAAAGTACTTTAGAGGTACTCAGCCTTTGTCTTCTATCTCATTACTGCCAGATTCTTTTTTTATTTGAGACAGTCTCACTATGTCACACTCAGTAGAGTGCCATAGCATCACAGCTCACAGCAACCTCAAACTCTTGGGCTTAAGGGATTCTCTTGCCTCAGCCTCCCAAGTAGCTGGGACTACAGGCACCTGCTACAATGCCCATCTGCTTTTTGTTACAGTTGTCATTGTTTAGCTGGCCCTGGTGTATGTGGCCAGCGCCCTAACCTCTGAGCTAGGGGTGCTGAGCCAGCACTGCCACATTCTTGTGTGACCTAGAATGATTCTATCTTTCTGAGCCTCATTAACTTATTTGTAAAATTAGGAAATATCTTAATAAAGTAGTAAAACCTGATATTCATAATGAATGATGCCCCTGTGACCATAGAAGTCTTGGAGAGTCTGAAGTACTCACTAATTTTTATAGCATTAGCTTTGTTTGTAATTCTTATGATTATATCCCTTTGCTTCATTATTAGAAATAGCTGTGAATCAGACTCCTTATTGCTGAGCTATAGAGGAATAAAGTGTATGCCATGCTGCTTCTTACAGGTGCTGGTATTTCCTATAAGACAGTCTTAATACATTTACAGTTATAAAGAAGACAGTTATTCTGTCAGTGTGAGCCCATTAGTAAAAGGTCAGCCAACAGTTCCTTGTCCCTGCCTAATACTTTTCTATCCTTCTTTGAATTTAGGAGCATGTATCCTGTTTGGAAATCCTTTCTCGAGGGCACAATGCAGGTAGCCCAGTCTCGGATCAATATATGTGAAAACTATAAAAACTTCATTTCTGAGCCTGCAAGGACAGTGAGAATCTTAAAAGAACAGCAACTAAAAAGGGTATTGTTTCTATTTCTGTTATTTTTACATGTATTTACTATCTTAGTACTATATTTGTTAACATGGAAATTTAAGCTAAATTGTATTTAAAACATCACAAATGTTTCTGGTTGACATTTTACTATGATTTTCTGATCTTAACATGTTTCCATTAACTACTGTATTTTACAAACTGATAAAAGTGATTGTAATTTGAATCTGTGGCTGTTTAGAAAGTTCAGTAAATACTTCTTAGAAATACCACTTTTTAGGCAGGTGCAATGGCTCACGCCTGTAAACCTAGCACTTTGGGAGACTGAGGTAGGAAGATCCCTTGAGCTTAGGAGTTCAGGATCAGCCTGAGCAAGATTGAGACTCCATCTCTGCTAAAAACAGAAAAAATTAGCCTGGCATTGTGGTAGGAGCCTGTAGTTCCAACTACTATGGAGGCTAGGGAGGAGAATCGCTTGAACCCAGGAGTTTGAGGGTACTGATACTATGGCACTCTATCCTGCTAACCCGGGCAACAGAGTGAAACTGTCTCAAAAGAAAAAAAAAAAAAAGAAATATCACTTTTCAAGTTAACACAAGTGAACAGACCTTTTTAGTTTAAAAATATTGGTATAGTTTGGTGTATGTATATGTATTTTTTTATTTCAAATTAGTAAGAGGGTACAGATGTTTAGGTTCCATTGTTTTCAGTTCTAAGGTAAAGTCAGAGTTGTAGTTGAGCCCTTCATGGGGGTGGGAGGTGGTGAGGGGTGAACTCCCTCACATTGTGCACATTCGGTGGGATCCAATGGCCTTCTCTCCTCCCCCTCTGCTCTCTGTCCACTCTCTTTTCCCTCTTGCTAGACTGTATTTGTGTTTTATGTTTTGTGTGGATATGAAGTTGTATATTGGTTTCATATTGATATTGAGTACATTGGATTTTTTTCCCCATTCTTGAGATCATTCTAGGAAGAATATGTTTCAGCTCTATCCAGGTAAATACAAAAGATGTAAAGTCTCCATCTTTTCTTATGGCTAAATAGTACTCCATAGTATACGTATACCACAGTTTGTTAATCCATTTGTAGGCTGATGGGCATTTGGGTTGCTTCCACATCTTGGCAATTATGAATTAAGCTGCCATAAACATTTTGGTGCAAATAGTTTGTTGTATATTAAAATAATTACAATGTTACTAATGCCACTAATTCTTGAAAAACAAGAATTACGTTAATATTTTAGCTTCAATTTAAGCCATTTTACATATTTAAAGGAAGTTGACACATTTTGACCAATATAGTAAACTTATTTTTAAAAACCCAGTGGAGCTTAAAGTTTAATTATATAGGTTACACATGTTTCAAGTAGACCTATTTCTTTGATTATACAGACATTTAAAATTCATAGGAAAATGTCATTGTTGAATGTGATTTTTTTTAAGTTTGCTGATTAGAATAGATGATTGAATTGTATCTTTTTGGAAATAGAGTTACAAAAATGGAGATTTTCATGATACCTAATTAGTTATGAAAGTTTTCTTGTGGATTTATTAATATTTTAGAAAATATTAAAGTAATTATTTAAAAATAATATTTTAGAAACCATCCAATATTTTGATTCTAATTGTCATTTTGATTTTCAGAACTGTTTTACAAATAAAAATTTAAAAAACCTGATCTTCCCTGTGTCACATCCCGCTTCTAATACCACTTGTCAGGACCCAGGACTGGCCAGGTCTCCAGCCCGGCTTAACTAGGTTCCAGATGCAGACCGCTAAGCTACCTTGCTCAGGAACAATTTCTTTTAGGTGCCTGATAGCTATCTACTTTAACTGGAGAGAGAGAGAAAGAGTCTTAGAGTAAAGCAGTCTTAGAATAGATAGATCTTAGTCTTTAGTAGAGCTTGGTAATCTTCAGCAGAGAGACATGGTGCTGGTGTTCTGCAGGCAGGAGAGGAGACAGAGTCAGAGTAAGTGGGTCCATGATAGAATGTGCATGCTCCCAACTGCCTTCTCCTCCAGCCTAATATAAGGCTGATCTCATGCCTTTCAATACCACAGGTGTAGAAACTGCCAATTCACCAATGCTCTCATCTCAAGAGCTCTCGTGCTTGTTAGGAGAGCTAAATCCCTCTCTATGCCCTTTTCACCAAGGTGTTCCATTATTGAGCTATACAGGTATTTCTTATGACTCTCACTCCTCCTAGCCATAGGCTCTTTGGGCTGCTACACCCTATTTGCCAAAGATGATTTTGTGAAATCAGTATGTTAAATGTATATGTGGGCTGTGCCCGGTGGCTGATGTCTATATTCCCAGTCCTATAGTCCTAGCACTCTGGGAGACTAAGGTGGAAGGATTACTTGAGATTAGGAGTTTCAGACAAGCCTAAGCATGAATGAGACCCCTGTCTCTATAAAAAATAGATAAAATTAGCTGGGTTTGGTGCTGCACACCTGTAGACCTAGCTACTTCGGAGGCTGAGGCAGAAAGATCACTTGAACCTAGGAGTTTGAGCTTTCAGTGAGCTATGAAGACACCATTGCATTCTAGCTGGGACAACAGAGTGAGACTCTATCTAAAAAAAAAAAAGTATATGTGTGCATATATAAAATTTTAATCTATTTAGTATACTCACCTAATATCTGTTGGCTTGAACTCATTTTCAAAGAATGCCTATTTTATCTTTGCTAAAATGTAGCTCTTTTAAAGCTAAAATAGTGAATAAACTTTGTGACCACTGACCAACGGTTTTGAGTTGGAAGAAAATGTGCTCTGTGTGTGTGTGTGTGTGTGTGTGTGTGTGTGTGTGTGTGTTTCTGATACGGTAGAAACTGGTAAAAGGTATAGAGAGGGAATTAATGTTAGTATAACTTCCTAGCTAGAATTGAAAATATTGCATTTAAAATTTTCAGTGCATTCACCGAATCTCTAGTTGAATTACTAGAAATTTGTAACTTTTTCAATATGATAATACTTTTTGCTTGTTTTGAGGTTCAGACCAAGTTTAATGAAAGGGGATAGGAAAAAAAAATGGTGGGGTCAGAGACTCACCTGGGCAAAGATGGTGTCTGCTGATATTATAATACTTTAAAAGCATTTAGCTACCTCTGGTACTTTTCTCTTGTATTGGTGGAATGGTTCTCAGACCTGAATTTAACCAACATTCTTAGATGATGTTTGGTGAAATTTGACAAATCTTCATATTTGTGAATTTACTTGTTTGAGATTTTGTGATGTGGGCCATTCTTACTGGGGTTAGATGTTATCTTAGGGTCGTTTTGATTTGCATTTCTCTAATCATCAGGGATGATGAGCATTTTTTCATGTTTGTTAACCATTCATCTATCTTCTTTAGAGAAGGTTCTATTCATCTCTCTTGCCCATTGATATAAGGGATTGTTGGCTTTTTTCATGTTGACTAATTTGAGTTCTCTAGATTCTAGTTATCAAGCTTTTATCTGATTCAAAATATGCAAATATCCTTTCCCATTATGTAGCTTGTCTATTTCCTTTACTTGTTCTCTCCTTCACTGTACAGAAGCTTTAAGTCCCATTTGTTTATTTTTGTTGTTGCAATTGCCACAGAAGTCTACTTCATAAAGTCTTTCCCCAGGCCTGTATCTTCAAGTGTTTTTTTCTTGCTTTCTTTGAGGATTTTTATCATTTCATGCCTTAAATTTAGGTCTTTTATGCATCTTAAATCAATTTTTGTGAGTGGAGAAAGGTGTGGGTCCAGTTTCAATCTTTTACATGTGAATATCCAGTTCTCCCAGCACCATTTATTGAATAGGGATTCTTTCCTCTAGTGTATGTTCTTGTTTGGTTTATCGAAGATTAGGTGGCTGTAAGGTGTTAGTTTCATTCCTGGTTTTCTGTTCGGTTCCAGATTTCTATGTCTCTATTTTTGTGCCAATACCATGCTGTTTTGACCACTATAGCCTTGTAGTATAGCCTAAAGTCTGGTAGGCTGATGCCTCTGGCTTTATTTTTATTGCTAAGTACTGCCTTAGCTACATGGGGTTTTTCCTGGTTCCATACAAAACGAAGAATTATTTTTTCCAAGTCTTGAAAGTACAATGTTGGTATTTTAATAGGAATGCCACTAAATTTGTAGATTGCTTTGGGAAGTATAGACATTTTAACAATGTTGATTCTTCCCAGCCATGAGCATGGTACGTTCTTCCATTTGTTAATTTCTTCTGCTATTTCTTCTCTTAGAGTTTCGTAATTTTCTTTATAGAGGTCCTTCACCTCATTTGTTAGGTATATTGCTAGATATTTCATTTTCTTTGAAGCTTTTGTGAAGGGGATTGTGTCCTTAATCAGCTTCTTATCTTGGCTATGATTGGTGTATACAGAGGCCACTGACTTGTGGATATTGATTTTATATCCTCAGACATTACTGTATTTTTTGGATCACTTCCAGGAGTCTTGTGATTGAGCCTTTGGGGTTCTCTAAGTATAAGATCATATCACCAACAAAGAGGGAGAGTTTGACCTCTTCTGCTCTCACTTGGATGCCCTTTATTTCCTTCTCTTGCCTGATTGTATTGGCTAGAACTTCCAGCTCTATGTTGAATTGTGGTGGCGATAAAGGACAAACTTGTCTGGTTCAAATTCTAAGTGGAAAAGCTTTCAGTTTTACTTCATTCAGTAAAATATTAGCTGTGGGTTTGTCATAGATGGCTTTGATCAGTTTAAGAAATGTGCCACCTATGTCTATACTTTTCAATGTTCTAATTAGAAAAGATGCTGGATTTTATCAAATGCTTTTTCTGCGTCTCTTGAGAGGATCATATGCTCTTTGTTTTTGCTCTGTTGATATGATGAATTATGTTTATGGACTTGTATATGTTAAACCAGCCTTGTTTCTCTAGGATGAAACCTACTTGATCATAATGTATAAATTCTTTGATGAGAAACTGTAGTCTATTGGCTAGGATTTTGTTGAAGATCTTTGCATCTATATTCATTAGTGAAATTGGTCTGAAGTTCTCCTTTTTAGTTAGGTCTTTTCCTGGTTTTTGTATC